ACAGTGGTTCGGGGTGCTGTGCGACTGTAGTGTGTGCACACACAGTGGTTCAGGGTGCTGTGTGGCTGTAGTGTGTGCACACACCGTGGTTTAGGGTGCTGTGTGGCTGTAGTGTGTGCACGTCCACAGTGGTTCAGGGTGCCGTGTGACTGTAGTGTGTGCACACACAGTGGTTCAGGATGCTGTGTGACTATAGTGTGTGCACACACACAGTGGTACAGGGTGCTGTGTGTGACTGTAGTGTGTGCACGACCACAGTGGTTCAGGGTGCCATGTGGCTGTAGTGTATGTACACACATAGTGATACAGGGTACAGTGTGGCTGTAATGTGTGCACACACAGTAGTTCAGGGTGTTGTGTGGCTGTAGTGTATGCACATACTCAGTGGTTCAGTGTGTTGTGTATAGTGTGTGCATACAGTGATTCCATGTGCTAAGTGTAGTGTTGTGCACACTGGTGCAGGGTGCTGTATGACTGTAGTGTGTGCACATACACAGTGATTCCGTGTGCTATGTGGCTATAGTATGTGTACACACAGAGTGGTGCAGGGTGCCATGTGGCTGTAGTGTGTGTGTACACAGTGGTGCAGGGTGCCGTGTGGCTGTAGTATGCACACAGAGTGGTGCAGGGTGCTGTGTGACTGTAGTGTGCACATACAGTGGTGTGGGGTGCTGTGTGTAGTATGCACACACAGTGGTGCAGGGTGCTGTGTGGCTGTAGTGTGCACACACAGTGGTGCAGGGTGCTGTGTGGCTGTAGTGTGCACACACAGTGGTGCAGGGTGCTGTGTGGCTGTAGTGTGCATACACAGTGGTGCAGGGTGCTGTATGGCTATAGTGTGCACACACAGTGGTGCGGGGTGCTGTGTGGCTGTAGCATGTGCACACACAGTGGTGCAGGGTGCTGTGTGACTGTAGTGTGTGCGCACACACAGTGGTTCCATGTGCCGTATGGCTGTAGTGTGCGCACCCTCACCTCCCAGTAGCATTCTGCAATGTGGGCGTGGCTGGTTTGAGTTATCCATAACCTTGTAAAGGGCATCTTGGTTATGAGACTTAGAATGGCTGTGAACAGTGGTGTCCAGGATTTTGTGCAGATGCTTGCTTGCACAATCGCTGGGTGGAATGCTGAACGTGCATTTTTAACTCTTTACCAAACCGCCAGGGAGCTTTCCAGGTTTCCTTGGGTGGCTGTACTGTTGAGGTGTCCCCGGTGCTGTGTGGGGACTGGTCCCCTGCCTCCTGGCCTGCGTCCAGCCTTGTCTCTCATGTTGACTGGAGGCTGTTGGAGTGTTGTGAAAATGCTACCTTCAGCGTCCTTGGCCTGTCCTCTGCAGTGCAGCCCTCTCTGTGCCTTCGCCCATTTGCTCATAGCATTGTTTTCTCCTTGTTGAATCTCGAGGGCTCTTTATATACTCTGGCTCAGATTCCTTTGTCGAGCCGTGCTTCGCCACCACGAGTTCTCCCATGCCTGGGGAGCCTGTCCCCAGGATGAAAACATTGAGCCGTGGGTGGTGTCCGCTTTTGTGGTTTCACTTTAGGAACAGCACCCTGGGGACCCTTTGCGAGAAGTCGTCACAGAGCACGCAGGGCCCTGAGATACTCTTCAGCGTTTTCTCCTAAAGTTCCCTAGAAGTTTGACGTTTAAAGCCGTGACCATTTCGGGTAACTTTTGTGTGAGCTGTGAATTTTACATTCGAGTTTCTTTCTTTTTTCTTTTTTTCCATTAATTAATTTATTTGAAAGGCAGAGAGATGGGTGCTGGGGAAAGAGACCTTCTGTCTGCTAGTTCATTCTCTAAATGGCCACAGTAGCCGGGGGGGGGGGGGGGAGACCAGGCCGAAACCAGGACTCCACCTGGGTCTCCCACATGGTTGGCAGGTACCTGTCTAATGCTGTTTTCCCAGGTGCATTAGTAAGAAGCTGTATCATGGCCGTCGCCGCGGCTCACTAGGCTAATCCTCTGCCTGTGGTGCTGGCACCCCAGGTTCTAGTCCTGGTTGGGGCACTGATTGTATCCCAGTTGCCCCTCTTCCAGGCCAGCTCTCTGCTGTGGCCCAGGAAGGCAGTGGAGGATGACCCAAGTGCTTGCGCCCTGCACCCGCATGGGAGACCAGGAGGAAAACCAATGGAAGGAAGACCTTTCTCTCTGTCTCTCACTGTCTAACTCTGCCTGTCAAAAAAAAAAAAAAAAAAAAAGAAGCTGTATCAGAAGCAGATCTGACGAGTCTCTAACCAGCACTCCAGTATGGGATGTTGGTGTTGCAAGCAGCAGCTTAACCCACTGTGCCATCACACTGGCCCCTAAGTTTAGATTTCTTTTCTTTTCTTTTCTTTTTTTTTTGACTATGGATGTCAAATGGTACTGTTTGTTGTAAAACTGTTTTATTCCATTGATGTGTTTTTGCATGGCTGGGAGAAATTGATTGTTGTCTGTTTGGGCCCTTTGTTCTCATCCACTGATCTGTGCCACTGAACTCCCCACAATGCTGCCCTGACAGGTGACAGCGGCTGTCACGAGTCTTAGAGCCCGTGTGTGTGATTCCAGCCCCGCCGTATTCAGCACTTGTTGTTCTTTTTTACAACTCTTCAACTGTTTTACCTTTCGCCTTTCTGTACAAGCTTTAGAATCATTTGTTTGCTGTGGCTTTTACAGGAGTCACTGGAAACCTGTGTGTCGGACTGGGGCGAGCTCGCTGGTGTGCTGTGGGTCTTCATGTCCGTGACCGCTGTTCTTTATCAGGGCAGGGGAATGTCCAGGCCGCGGGCTGTGTCAGGCCTGCAAAGTATTTGAACTGGCCCTGTTAAGGCAAACATGGGTGGGGGTTGAGATTCAGTAAATCTGTAGCAGGCTAATCTGTAAGTTGATGATTTTGTATGGCCCATGAGTGGTGCTATACGTTTCCAAATGGCCTTTGGCAGATAAAAGATTCCTGACCCCTCCTTTAGATCTTTTTTTTTTTTTTTAAGGTTTTTTTTTTTTTTTTTCTGTATTTATTGGCAGGGCAAAGAGATAGACAAGGTCTTTCATTCATTCACTGGTTTACTCAGATGCCCACAGACCAAAGCCAGGATCCCAGAACTGCGTTTGGGCTTCCCATCGGGGCGGCAGGCTCTTGAGCGTCACCTGCTGCCTCCAGGTGTGTGCGTTAGCAGGAAGCTGCCTCAGAAATGGAGCTGGAACTTGCACCCAGCCTTTCTGATGTGGGTGGCGGGCATCCCGGCTGCGGGGGTGCTTAGCCACAGTGCCATCCCCGATGCCGATTTCTTCCACAGCGTTATCCAGTATTCAGCATCCGAGTTCTGTGCATTTCTGTGAGATTTTTTATGTACCCATAATCCACCCTTTCTGTTTACGTATCTGTATTCCTCTTTTCACGAACATAAACACCATTGTGTTTTCTGTTTCAGCATCCGCGTGTTCGTTGCCAGCAGATAGACAACACGATGGGTGTTTGTCCATTGATCTTGCATGCTGGGGTCTTGCTGAACTGCTTTCTTAGTTTTGGACTTTTGTCAGTTTTCTTGGGGTTTTGCTGTAGACAATCTTGTCTGCTGCAGGTGGGAGGAGTTTCATTATTTCCAGTATGTGTGGGTTTTATTCCCTACCCAGGCTTCTCACACTGTCTGGAAGGGCCAGCTCTGCATACACTCACAGTGGTGGAGCACCTGTCCTGCCTTATCTCCTATTCGAGGGGATGTGTCCTGTCTTTCTCCGTGAGTGTGCTGGAGCCTCGGGGTTTCCCGTGGCTGCTCCTTGTGGAACATAATTAGTTGCACTCTGCTCCTGGTTTACTGAGAGGTTTTGTTACGATGGCATTGAATTTTGTCAGATGCTTTTCCGCCTCAGTTGATAAAATCATGTGACATGTCTTCTTTAACCTGTTAATGTGATAGATTATAGTGATTGATTTTTGCATACTGAATCTGGCTCAAATTCCTGGCATCAATGCGATTTGGACACGGTGGTGAATTCTCTTTATCTATGGCTAAATTCTACTTGCTACATGTTTTGTTAAGGAGTTTGGCTTCCGTATTCATGAGGAATAGTGACCCATGGTTCTCCTTTCTTTTCTCCTCTGTGAAGTCTTCATCTGGTTTTAGCATTGTTTATTGATTCTTCTGCATATATGTTAATGTGTCAGTTGTGCTATTGGAAATCTACGTCAGATGCTAAAAAAGCAGCTAAGTTTGCAGTGAAACATTGAACTCAGTCTAAAATATCGCTTTATATAAAGGACTCCACTTTCTTTCAGCAAACACTGCAGTGTGTGTGTAATGGATACTGTTTCCCCTCAATTCATCACCATTTTCTTCAGGGTTATTTAATCATTTTTGATAACAAAGATTGATTCAGGGCTTAAAATATACTGATACATTGCAAGTTGAAGAAGATTTTGTGCCAGGTGACTCAGTAAAGCCTTCGCACGGGGAGCTGCGGTCACTGTGGCTGCTTCGGGTCTATTGGAATGCTGACCGGCTTCATTTCAGGGATTGCTCACGTGCAGCCCTCCTTGTCCCAAACGCCAGTGCAGGTGTCACATAAAGTCCAGGTCAGTGGCACCAAAGCGTGATCTGCTGTCGTGGAGGAGTTGCAGTGTGGGTTCATCTGGAACCTAGAGTACTTCACATAGACATGCACACGCTAGCACGCGTCTGTGTCGCCTGAGCCCCTCCGTGAGCGACAGCCGAGCGAGCGCCAGGAGCTCTCTCTTCCCAGTGAGCTCGTAAAGCTGCTCGGGACGTGGGCACTGCTTGGGTGAGCACTGAAACGTGAGGCCTGTGTCCTGTGGGCACGGCTGCAGGCGTGGGAAGCGATTCCTGTGCCTCTGTGGCGAGATGGGGCCGTCGAGAACTCTGGTAGCGTCAGTGACACCACTGATCTCCTCGAGCTGCATGACGTGAGGCCCCTTCTGCGTCGTAATCGCAACCACTGTTTCTGTGTGCACTTCTCAGCAAAGGAGGAGCTTCTCTTGTTTCAGCTCTGTTCTAACTTTACAGGATTCAAGCCAAAACCCGAGAATTTAGGGAGCGACAGGCTCGGGAGCGCGACTATGCCGAGATCCAGGATTTTCACCGGACGTTCGGCTGTGGTGAGGAGTCGATGTACGGGGGCCTTTCTCCCTATGAGGGCTCCCTGGCCCTCAACGCCAGGCCCCAGAGCCCGAGAGAAGGACACCTGATGGATGCTCTCTATGCACAAGTGAAGAAGCCGCGGAACCCCAAACCTTCACCCGTGGACAGGTAGGCTCCAGGGGCAGTCCCAGCGCTGCCCCAGCCCACACTGGTAGAGGTGTTTACGAGGGAGTGGGCTGGGCATCAGCCCTCCCCCCGAACTGCCTTTTCTGAAACCTGCTGTGTCTAAACGCTGAGTGTGCACAAGGCAGCACCGATGGGAGGAAAGGCCTGGGTAGCTTTGCTCATGATGCCCGCTCGGTCCGTCTTGCCCTTAAACCGGCTGCAGGGCCGAGGAGCCAGGACTCAGATAAAGAGCAAACCTGGAATGACCGCCCTTCGGCTTGAGCGACGCTGCCTTTCGTAGGTAGCAGAGGGTCCAGCTGTGTGATCCGACAGATGGGAAGTGGCACGCGTTCTTCCGTTACGATGGGGAGGGTGCCCTGGCGTTCTGCTGGCAGAGTTTTCTGTTCTGAGAAAATCCGTGAATAAGAAACACGGTGTTTCCAGTCTGAACTACGGATGTTTGGGATAACATACAGAAGTGCGCTGTGGACTGCGTTTTAACAGCTGTCTGTGTACCTCTGTTTTAGCTATGTGGCTATGTATTCATTAACGGCTGTGTGTTACCATTGTGTATTTATTTCAAATGCTGTCTGTGCATTTCCCATTTTAACTGCAGTGCTTTGAAGTGGATCTTTGTGCATTTTAGCTTACAAGGAAAATAGTTTTCAGTCACTGGTACATGGAACTACATGTGTGTTATTGCTGTAACCCCAGTGTCAATCCCATCACGTCCCATGCTGCTTTCCTGCAACATTGCTTTTCATGGGAAGTGGGCTCTGAGAGGTACAAATAGCAGGTTCCTGAACACCAGAGCCTGTCAGGCGTCGGCGCGCCTTGTGATCACCTGAAGGGCTTCTCAGAGCACAGACTGGCTGGCCCTCTCCCAGGATGTTGACGCAGTGGGTCTGGTGGGAGCCACCTGCATGTCTTCCACCTCCCCAGGGTGGGCAGCAGCTCTGTTGGTCCTGGAGCTTCGCTCTGGGAAGCCTGGCGAGGCCAGAGGTGTGTCAGGACAAATCCCCCAGGGCTTCCATCCGTGCGTCTCTGGTTGCAGACATTCTGTGTTTTAATTCCCTACTTCCAACTCCTTTTGAATGGAGCTTTGCAAATGCAGCAGGGAGCCCTCAGACAGCCCAAGGAAGCCTTTTTGAAAGTGGTGAGCGGAGAGGCAACTCTCCAGGCCAAGCTGCAGTCAAGTGAGTGTTGCATTACGCTGTCTTTGGTTTGCTTTCTTACCTTATTGGCTGTGGTGAGGGAGCAGTGCAGGTTCCCTCGGGGAGGCTGGTGGTCCGCACGCTGGTTTGCTCACAGCTGTGTCAGGCTTCAGAGGATAAAGTTGTCATCCGGGCGGTGACACTTCCCTTAAAGACCTCGCACTTGGAGGCTGCTGTGCCATGAGCTGCATGCAGGTGGTCTCCTGCTGCAGGGCTGTGAGCGTCCCACGGGGGGTGTTCCCTGGGAGGAGGACACCAGAAACGTCAGTAGTCAGTCATGCCAGTCAGTGTCTTTTGGAGGGACTAGCAAAAAATCTGACCTACTGTTGATCGTCGATTCCAGCACTCACCGCTTGAAGCACCGTCCTCATCTAGTGTACGAACCAGAGAAATGGGGGCTGGCATCGTGGCACAGCCGCTGAGCCACCACCTGCAACACCGGCATCCCAGAGGGGTGCTGGTTTGAGAACAGAGGCACATAATTCAGAGGAATTAGAGAAATGATACATGATATGCATGAGAGTCAGTAAAGAAATAGATATTAAAATCAGTAATTTTGGCATTGATGGAGCAGAAGAAAGAATTTCTGATCTTAAGGACAAATCTCGGGCCGGCGCCGCGGCTCACTAGGCTAATTCTCCACCTAGCAGCACTGGCACACCGGGTTCTAGTCCCGGTCGGGGTGCTGGATTCTGTCCCGGTTGCCCCTCTTACAGGCCAGTTCTCTGCTGTGGCCCGGGAGTGCAGTGGAGGATGGCCCAAGTGCTTGGGCTCTGTACCCCATGGGAGACCAGGAGAAGCACCTGGCTCCTGCCATCGGATCAGCGTGGTGTGCTGGCCGCAGCGCGCTGGCCGTGGTGGCTATTGAAGGGTGAACCAACAGCAAAAGGAAGACCTTCCTCTCTCTCTCTCTCTCTCTCTCTCTCTCTCTCTCTCTCTCTCTCCACTCTGCCTGTCAAAAAAAAAAAAAAGACAAATCTTTTGAAATAAATCAGTCAGACAAAAATAAAGACAAAAATGAAGAAAAATAATGTTAAAGTGCATGAGACGTGTTGGACACCATTAAGTGAATAAATATTTTCATCATAGAAATGCTTGAAGGGGAAAAGATGAGAGGCATTCAGAGCCTAGTTAATGAAATAATGCCAGAATATTCCCAAATCTTGAAAGAGACGAGGACCTCCAAACACAGGAAGCTAAAGAGACCCCAATCAGGTTCTACTAAAAAAGACTTTTCCTTGGGCCAGTGTCATGGTACAGTGGGTTAAGCCATGGCCTGCAGTGCCAGTGTCCCGTATTGGCACTGGTTCGAGTCCCAGCTGCTCCACTTCTGATCCCTCTCCCTGCTAATGCACCTGGAAACCATCAGAGGATGGCCCAAGTGCCTGAACCCCCTTATCTATGTGAGAGACTAGAATGGAGTTCCAGGCTCCATGGCTGCCATTTCAGGAGCGAACCAGACAATGAAAGATCTCCCTCTCCTTCTCTCTCCCTCCCCTCTTTCTGTGTAACTCTGCCTTTCGGATAAATAGATCTTAAGGAAAAAACCTAGGACATAGATAGAGATATACCTGTTGCAGTCATTCATGTCTCTCACAAGTCCCATCTGATGACAAAAGGGACCACCCCGGCTCCTGGCTGCTTCAAACCCTGAGACCTATACCTGTAGAAATCTCACCTGAGGGTTTCTGTGAATGCCTAGTGGGCTGCAGCTGTTTGGGGTGCCTGTGCTCCCCGCCCCATGCTAACCCCAGACCAAAAGTCTGCCTCCTAACCGAGTTGCCTAAAACACCTGCCTGGCAGACTCGTCCAGAAGGGTCTAGGACTTGTTCAGTCCTAGAACAAGTACACAAAACAGTGAATACCTCAGACCCCTGTTCCAAGCAGGAGATCCCTCTAGAACTCGGATGCTGCACAGTGCTAGGCACTTCCAGAAAGATCTGTCGGAATGCAAGATTTCGAAGATAGTTTCAACTCAAGCTAGACGTTGTTGGTTTGTTTTGGGGGAAGAAGGAAGTACAGAGACTTTAATGTCTTGTTAAGTGTTACTTTTGCAGACACCAAGGTGTCCACGAGAGCAGTGACTGATGTGACCCAGCAGTTACTGATTGCTGCACCTGGAGGGGATTCTGCACCTGCCCATACCCAGAGGAGACCGTGGCTTGGGAGTAACGCCGTCCCGCCTGGGTCTTTTACATCAGAGAAGGGAGGAGCAGGCTTGCATTGTGTGGAAACTGCCCTTCAAAGGAGAGACAGTCTCTTGAAATGGCAACGTTGAATTAAATCCTTTTGCTTATACTGTCGCTTAAATATATATAAAAATGACATAGAACTAAACTCCTGTTGATAACCATTATACTGCCATAAAACCAAGCATCTTTACAAATTAAATACAAACAAAATGATAAGACCATTACATCCAACTGAGTAGTGTTCATTTAATGTAGCCAATATTTTTTTAAAACCTAAACACTTGCACAAATCATGACTGTAGTGGTGCCTGGCACATGGGGTTCTCTTAAGTTTGGTAGCCTGTGCCACGGCGTCTGCTGACTCAGTTTACCCGTTGCATCTCTCAGTTACATGTCTCCAGCCCTTGTGCCCTTCCGAGTCCAGTGACTTTTGCCCTGTTTGTACGTGAGGTCCAGCTTTCTGCTCTGAGAGGGCTCCAGGATGTTCATGGAAAAGGGAGTTAAAAGATAAGCTTGTTTGGGGCAGAAAATGTGGAAACCATGCATATGAGGTGTCTTTGAAAGAGCTCGTGGAAATATGCTTTATGAAAAAGTTAGGCCTGGGTTTTCAAGATTGTTTTTGTTGTTGTTGTTGTTGTTGTTTTTTGTTTTTTCACAAAAACTTATCTTATAAAAAGTGTTCGTTTATTTGAGAGACAGAGGCAGGCAGAGAAAGACCGCTCCCTCCCCAAATGCCCACAGTGGCCCCAGGCCTGGCTGGGGGCTGGAGTCAGGAAATCCTGGTCTACTTGAGCCATAGTGGCTGCCTCCTGGGGTCTGCATTGTGAAAGGCAAAGTGATGGGGTGAGGGACAACAGAGACATCTTCCATCTGCTGACTCACTCCCCAAATGCCCACAGCAGGCAGCTGGGCCAGGAGCCAGGAGCTCCCTCCAGGTCTCCCCGGGGGGTGGCAGTGGGTGCAGAAGCAGGTTTGCTTTCATGAAGATGGGTCTGCTTCCTCAGTGCCGACATCCGTTTTTCAGGAGCGCGAGGAGGCAGTCTTGTGGGCGCCACTTGTCCATCTCCCCCAGACCTCACAGCGTATCATGAGCAGCTTAGATTAGGGCTCCCTGTGTGCAGCTTGAGGCCTGCAGGTCGCTTGCACACACAGGCACTGAGGTTGAAAGTGATGCCGGGTACGTAAGATGACCTGACGAAGAGCAGCAGGCGGTCTCTCTGCCAGTTTTGTCTGTCCTTGGGTGGTGGGAAGGTTGTCCTTTGGTGTCTCGTGGAGCTCCCTGACGTCCTTTCCTGCTCTGCGTTCCTGAGGTTCTCACTCTTTCCAAGTTGGCAGTGCTCCGCGGAGGTGGGGAGACTGAACTCCTCAAACTTGATAGAAAACGCTGGCATTTCTCTTAGCATCAAGTTAACTGCCGTGAGGCAGGCCAGCAGGAGTCCTGGTGTGAACAGCTGTCGGGGGCTCTGTTCCAGAAGCAAGGGTCTGCCTATACGGGGTGCCCGCATCACGGACGGCGGCGGCTTCACCTGCCCTAGCACCACAAAGACCCCAGGAAGTTCGTTTGCACGTGAGCTACACAATTGCAGCTCAGAAAGTG